TGTGTGTCTAGGAAGCAGAGATCATGGCTAATCTCTTCAGGGTGCCACTTTCAAGATGAATGCACTTGCATTCATGCCCTTTGGTCACTCTATTTATAAAGCCAGCTCCTGGAAGAGACATTTCGATTGGCTGAGTGAGGGCAGAGCAGCTTAACTCAAGGTCCCACCACATCTACAGAATGAGGGAGATGTGGCCAATCAAAAAAAAAAAAAAAACAGGGTGCTGCTACCAAAAGAAGGTAGTACAAGATAAAGCACAAAGATTGATGCAAAAGATAAAGCACAAGCTAAAATCAAATGTTCATCTTGGCATCTTTTGAAGGGTGATTGAAAAACATGGATTTAAGAGAAGGAAAAATAAATAACGCAATTAAAATATTAGAGAAGCTTGGTTTGGCAGAAGCACAGGATGAATACATGACATCAGAATGAGCCACACTATGGTGGACATCCCTACCTCCCCCTCTTACCTACTCCTCTACCATCTCAGTCAGTGAACTGCTCTCCCCAGTTTTCACTGATAAGTTTATAAGCTACATGTTCATTCAAGGGGAGGGAAAGTTTGAGCCAATGGTTATGCCCATGAGTGAGGAGTGGGACTACTCTGGCAGCTACTAGCAATCAGACCCTTGGCAAAAGCATCGTAGACCCTGGTATGTTTCTACCTTAAACTTAGGAAGAGTGTTTGGCTTTAGCTACAAGACTGGGACTAACAAATTGCCTTAAGGAATATGCCAAGAAGATTCTTTCCATATGATCCAAGCAGAATCTTCTTCTTTTGCTACCTCAATCTGGGCATTCTTGTGGTAGAGAGGACAAAGCAGTGAGGTTCTACTGGGGACATTCCTGAAAATTATGGAAACCTTAGAAATACACACCAGTTTCATACATTAACATTTAGCATTTTCTCCCCAAATAGTGCATGGATATTGTTTCCTGGTGCTGCCCTCACTCCCTACCCCATCTTTGCTCCAAACCCAAGGCCAGATTTTTTGTGTAAGCTTCACTTTTTTCATTTTCTATAGGAAGAGTTTGAACCAAGTTCTCTCCTAAGGGTTCTTCTTAAGTTATACTTTGATGTCAGGTTGAAAAGCTTGATTGGGGTCATGTTACGAAAGGACTTGACTACTTTGTACTAAGAAGTTTGGTCTTCAGACATAGAGTATGTAAGTTAGGTGCTTGGCATATGATTGTAGTCTTCAAATCCTTCTCAGCCCACTCATTTAATAAAAGTGTGATTTGAGAAGGCATTTAATCT